CAGAATTACAAGGGCATGAGAGATCGTGCAGAGAGGTAGGAACGCCACGAGAAAGCGTCCTCCATGTCACTCACAAACAGAGATCGGTGTGACCAAAGGTCTAGGTCTGAGATGATGAGTTTAAGGGTTATTACAGAATGTTGGTCGATGGACCTAAACAACATATCATTGTGAGCAGCCCAGATCTTCCAAAGCGTGGTAAGTAGCACCAAAGGGCACGACTTTGTGGGCAGGTAGGTCCGAAGATCGGCATCCTAAAGCTCAGATACATCACTTGTCGATGGAGAGTAATGCCCACCCGCTGCCAGACTCGAGCATCTAGAGGGAATAAGATGAACAACAATGTTGATGGCACCGAGGGGAGAGATTGTTGGTGATGATGTACTTGTGAGCCAGGTTGGCCCTAGTGTTGAGCCCAATTTAAAGAATAACCAGGCAAACACTTTTAGCTTCCTTGGTACGTGAGCCTGCCAAAATGAGAGGAGCGATTAGGACAAGTTCGGGCCTGCTCATGAGTACGTCGTATGCTTGCTTGGTGGAGAAGTTATGGCCCCCAACAAGGAACCCTTCGGTCTTCAGACGTAGTCGGCAAGAAATCCTGCAAAACAGCCAAAAGTGAAACAAGTTCTTGCTCGGCAACAAGTATAAGACAATTTTTGAGGTTAGAATCCAAACCGAAACGCATAATATTGGCCACTCGAACTAGTTGTACCAGAGAGTGGGAGAAGATGTGTGGGTAAGTGGTGGCGAGTGGTGAAGAAGTCAACCAAGTGTCGAGCCAAAAGTAAGTGTTTGAGGCAAAGTTTGTAAGAACAAAAGTAATATTTTGCAGGGTTGGCATTTGGTGTGAGATGGTTCTACATAGAAAGGTGGTGTGGGAAGAGGGAGACATGAGGGCGTTAGGGTGTTGCAGACTTAGCCAGTCTAGCTAGGGAGAAAGAAGTAGATAGGGTTTTAACATCAAACTTCATAAGTAGACAGTTATTTTGAACATGCTAGTTTTTCATACCTAAACCACCAAATTTTTTGGACAAGCAAACATTGTTCCAAGCGATTAGGCACTGAGCTCCAGATCAAATTCCTCTCCAACCCAAAAGAAGGCTCTATGCAGGGCATCAATAATTTTTAAAAGCTTTTTGGGAATTTGAAACATAGACATATAGTAAGTGAGTAACGAGTCAAGGTACAACCGAGATGAGGATAAGTCGATCACCCTTATTAAGTACTTTTGCACGCCACCTAGATAAAAATTTCTTACATCGCTGAACTATGGGCAGTAATGAAGGTGTTGGAAGGAGGTTATAGTGGTGAGAGAGGTAGGCCTAGGTAGGTTTGCGGGAAGGAAGCGATAACAACCCATGGTGTTGGAGATGGCAGTAGCCACATATGGGTCAGTATGGAGAGTGGCCAACGTAATTTTTTGATAAGTTAATTGTATGGCTCATGGCAAGAGAAAAAATGTTTAGAATGACTTTGAGGGAGGATGTGGCTGCAATTGTCATTGGCATAATGTAGCATGGTGGGAGGGAGATGAGAGAAGATGGGGTGGTGAAGGTTTAGAAGATCTTGAGATTGTAGGATGAGCTGTTGAAGATGATCATTGATTATTAAGAAAAGGTAGGGAGATAATGAGTCACTCTGTCTAAGGCCATTCCGGCAGGTAATCCAGTTTTTAGGTGTGCCTTTCAGGAGGATCATTGTTTTCCTAGTACACAAAATGTTAGAGACTCGGCCACGGAAGGTAGCAGAGAAGCCTCTAGCTTTGAGAATTTTGTCAAGCGCAACCCAAGAGACAAAATCAAAGGCTTTACGAAAGTCTAGCTTAAAGACCATAGTTGGTTTTTGCTGGAGTGGCAAGTGCTAATAGGTCAGCCGCGAATATGAAGTTTTCAACGATGTTTTGGCCTGAAATGATGCTTGCTTGGTCCCATGAACCAACTAAGTGTTGGGATCTATGGTAGGGTGTGTCGACTACAAATTAAAAATTCCTACCCACAAAACATCCATGAACATGCTGACAGAGATGGATCACAGATCGTTACCACTAGACGCGCAGTGCCATGCAGCGGAAGTAGAGTTGGGGCAGCGCATTTGCGGGGTTCGTCTCCTCCTCGTACAATCTCCCTCGAAAAGCCGGTCATCGGATCCCACGTACTGGTTCATCGGACCGGCACAAGTGCACCGCCTCTAACGATATCTGTGTGTGCAGGAGAAACACCGTGCGATGAACTGCTAGGTCCATGTTGGGGAACGCATTAATTTTAAATTTTTTCCTATGCACACGCAATATCTATCATGGTGATGCATAGCAACGAGAGGGGAAGAGTGTTGTCCACGTACCCTCGTAGACCGTAAGCGAAAGCGTTATGACAATGCGGTTGATGTAGTCGTACGTCTTCACGATCCGACCGATCCTAGTACCGAAAGTACGTCACCTCCGCGATCTGCACATGTTCGGCTCGGTGACGTCCCACGAACTCTCGATCCAGCTGAGTGTCGAGGGAGAGCTTTGTCAGCATGACAACGTGATCACGGTGATGATGAAGCTACCGGCGCAGGGCTTCGCCTAAGCACTACGACGATATGACCGAGGTGGATTATGGTGGAGGGGGCACCACACATGGCTAAGAGATCAATGATCAACTTGTGTGTTCTAGGGTTCCCCCTTCCCCGTATATAAAGGAGCAAGGGGGGAGGCTGGCAGGCCCTTGGGGCGCGCCAGGAGAGGATGAGTCCTCCTCCTAGTAGGATTAGGACTCCCCTTTTCCTAGTCCTACTAGGAGGGGAAAAGGAAGGAGGAGAGGGAGAAGGAAAGGGGGGCGCCGCCCCCTTCCCTAGTCCAATTCGGACTAGAAGGGGAGGGGCGCGTGGCCTGCCCTGGCTGGCCCTCTC